TTATCGAGTGCTTCGATTCTTTGATGGGCTCATGGACGCTCTCTTAATACACGGCTAAACAATGTGATTCAATCCTGTAAAAATCTATGTCTAACTTTTGATGACAACACTAATCGATTGTCGATGAAATATTATTCTCCTTATGTAAATCAATTAATAATGCGGATCTCTACTGTTTGTAACTTTAGTCAATTTCCTAATTTACATAAATTGATAGTATGTGATAGTAACCTGAAAAATTTGTTGCAAATTAAATCTGATATTATTTCCAATCTAACTCATCTATGTTTATTATAAGGATCAAAATTTATTCCTCCACAGTAATTAATTTGTGATATATTCTCTAATAAATTTCCATCTCTTCGTCATGTTCATCCGGGTCATATTGATTATTTCACTTGTCATTCATGGACAACATCACCGTCTCTTATGTTTGTGTCAATCTTTTCTTGTAAATCAATGTCTATTCTAGCAATTTTGGCTTCATGTTCTAATCTTAATCATCTACAAGTTCATATTTTTTCTAGTGATAATAATATATTCAAATCATCTGCACCACTAAATCATCCACTTTAACGACTTATTGTTTGGAGTAATTATACGGAACTATATTTTAATGATATTGACAGATTTCTTACTTATACACCCAACGTGAAATATTTGTATTTACAAACAGTATATCGTACGTCATTCATTCATTTAGCAAAAGGTCTGATCAATCGACTCAATCGTTTGTTTCGATTTGATTGTTATATCAGAGAAATGTTGACCAGAGGATAGCCGTACTGGTAATCTAGCTAGTCTACATCAAATTCATTCATATTTGAATGGAATTAAATGTATAGAAGAAAATGACAAATGCCGAATATTTTCTACTCAATGGATTCTCAATGATAGAAAATAAGATTAAATAAATATCATTTTTATAACAAGTAACGTTCATCGTCAAGCGATTCACTTAGCCCTAGACTGATAGAATACATCCACGGATGTAATAGCATAAAAAGCTACATTAAAAAAGTAAAACGCAAAATTGATAATATAACCAGTATATCTTAGGCGAGCAGAAAACTTAATTCGGAGAATTCTCACTCTAAGTAAAGATAATGCATTTTACAAATTTTATTTTTTTTGTCGTTTTCGTTTTATTTTTTTTTTGCTTTTATAAATATAAATAGCGGTCAATAAGATTAAACAAGAATACGATTTTTTTTGTAATTAAATTGGCGCTATTTGTACGTACAAAAATATGAATTATACTATTCATAAAATTTGAGTTTTATTAATCAATATTTTATGCTTCAATTCGCGCATTAATTCTAAACTATTAATAAATTAGATATTCATTGATACAACATTGCACAATCAATCCTACAATAATGAATAATTTAAACGATTTCTTTAAATCCATACTGCTCATTTGGTCTGACTCTCACTAATTAAATGCTTTTGTAAGCGGTTTTACACCACTACCCGAATTATAGTTATTTCATTGACACATTTTATCGATGATTATTATGGGTTCATTTACATCAGTCTTTAGATGGTCATTTGTGCCATAGTTATCGGAATAGTTGTTTGTACCATGGTTGCTATATGGTCATCTGTGCCATAGTTACCGGAATAGTTGTTTGTACCATGGTTGCTATATGGTCACCTGTGCCATAGTTACCGAAATAGTTGTTTGTACCATGGTTGCCATATGGTCACCCGTGCCATAGTTACGTGGTCGTTTGTACCAAAAAAATGACCGTTTGTGCCATAGTTATATGCTCATTTGTACCATAGTTACCTAGTTAATTTTAGTAAAAAAATAGCCGTTTGTGCCAAAAAAATGGTCGTTTGTGCCAAAAAAATGGTCACATGTGCCAAAAAAATGGCCATTTTGACCGCGTTACCGACAGACAGACAGACAGACAGACAGACACAGGTAAATTTCGGTTTCTAGACCCTAGCCTTTCAGTCTAGGGAATAGAAAAATTGTGTTTTTTTTTGTTGTCTAACATTTCTTTCATTGATATTTCGAATTATGCTGTGGTTTCAATAAATGGCAGACTTCAGAAAAGTGATACGCTGGTGAAAATCTCATCGTATAAAAGATTTGATCAATTGTGATTTGTAGGAAGGATGCAGGTGTGAGTGTGGATAAGGTGCTTATATCTTTTATACTCATTTAGCCTGACATCTACGACTACACACGTAAGTCACATTCAGTTTTCTTGCCGGAAAAATCAGGAAGTTAGTCAAGAGTCTTGAGTCTTTCTGGTTCGGTTACTGATGATGAGTTCTTTTGGTTTCCAGTTTTTCCTACTAGAGTCGGCCCGTACTCTCGAGCTGGTGAAATAAAAAACAATAATATTCTAATATTTGCGTCAAAAATACAATTTACTTCTGTCAATTTTTCAAATAGGCCTTCCATTATAAGCAGCTAAGCTAATATAAATTCATTTGTTCAAAATTTTTTCACTCTTTTCGAAACGATAGAAAGTCAAAGCCATCTAATGACTCTTTTAGCCAGGATGAAATCGCGATAATAATTTTGCTAGACACATCTATATTTATCGAGAGCCGAAATTGATTTAGAAATTTTGATTTCAGGATGTGTTGGAAATCCACTAGATCCAGCTGTTTTCATCCTTACTTCTTTGGCTTCGAAATATTTTACGATACTTTGCATTTCAATTCGAAATAATGATGTAGCATTAAAGCCATCTGATGAGACGTGTTGAAGATGAATTTTTGAACATACACATCCAAAGTATACATCTACTGTTCTCATTCGATGCTATAAAATGAATTTGCAATCAACATTTAGAATTAGAAATTTTTTAACTACACAATTTTTTATACAGTGTCTCAAGTAGTTACTACGTCTTTCACCTATGTGAAAGTGTTCTCATCCAACAAGTGATATTCAAAAAAGTTATGATTGTTTGTTTCTTTTCTTTCTCAAAGAAAAAAGAAAATAAAATAACTACACCTATGCGCGTTAATATAGTCATACCATGTGCTTGATTACTCTACTTCACCTTATATGTTGCTCGTCTCAGCTGAAATATTCACTATTCTGTTGGTAGATGCAATATTGTATTTTTTCTTATTTTGACTTGGCCATCCTCCTTGTATTAACGACAGAATACAATAACTATCAGTAAAAACCTTCTCTTTATACTACTGTATATTCATTTTCTTAAATGAAATACACTCATTAAGAAACCAGTTATCTCATCGTAAGAATCAGTTAACAATTTTCATGCTTATTTCGATTTAGATTGACGATGCAAGCCTTTATATTAAACTAAAATTGAAAAGGCTTGATTCAATAAATTGTGATTACGTTTTACTCACTTTTTAAAATGTTATTTCGAAGTGCTGACAAAACTACAGGACTAGATAAGACGTTCTTATTGGTGGATACATTTTCAATTCAATCACACTTTGCACAAGTTGGTGTTATTTACACACACAACATTGTATAAGAGTGAGAGCGCTTGGTGATATGTGAAATTGAAGTAAAAATTTACCATGAGCCTAGTTTGAATATGATGAGAACAATATCTACTATTTTTAGATCTCTTCTAGACTACGAAAAAAAAAGTGCAACGTGAAACCCAGACAAGATCTACGCTAAACGATTTTAGATTGCATCAATGAATGTGGACCGATAAAAATTTATGCGTCTTAATGCATAAGTAATAGTTTTTTATCGTCATAATTTATAAAGAGTATAAATGCATGCTTTATAAAGAACATAGAAAGAGCATAACAAGAAAACATTGAAATATATCTGAGTCATTTTCTAAAACTACGCATTGTAGTGAGGTTATGATATAATACTTAATTTTTTTAGATAGTTCATCAAGCATGCAACCAACTATCATTCTTGTCACTGGTGCTAACAAAGGCTTGGGCTTTGAAGTTGTGAAAAAGCTTGTGACTGCTTCAACTGATCCCAATAAGACAATTATTCTACTCGGCAGTCGTGATATACAACGAGGGCAAGAAGCTATTTCTCGATTATGTTCACCACCGAATGTACACTTACTTCAATTGGATACTTCGTCACAAGATAGTATCGCTCGTGCTACTAATGAGATTAAAGAAAAATATAATGGCCATCTTGACATTCTCATCAATAATGCAGGTATAATGACACGAAAAACAACGATCGATGCAGCTCGAGAAGTATTTGCTACGAACTATTATGGTATCAAAATGATCAATGAGTATATGTTTCCTCTTTTGCAAGAAAATGGTCGTATTGTGAATGTGTCAAGTGAAGTAGGTTCTTGGACTTTGCATACAGCATCGAGTGACCTTCAGAACAAATATTCGTCACCGACATTGACAACAGAAGAATTAGATCAACTTGTGAAAGATTTTTTTTCAGCTATTGAACAAGGCAAGGTTGATACAAGTGGTTATGATTCTAAATGGCCAATGTTAATATATGGCATGTCTAAAGCTGCTCTCACTGCTCTCACTCGAATCGAAGCACGTCAATGGTCAGCTATCAAGAATATTTTAGTACTGGCTGTATGTCCCGGTTATTGTGCTACTGATGCGACTTATCATGCATCAGGAGCTCGTCCTGTTGAATTCGGCGCTGATTCTATTCTTTGCGTAGTCAACACTCGACCAAATGAACTTGAAAATGGTGCTTTCTATCAAGACGGAATAAAAAAATCGCAAGTCATTGCTTGTACAGTGGACCTACCCAAATATGAAGATCCCGAAAAAAATAAGAAAGACTAATGTAAACAGAGATTATAATCTGCTATAGAACATGATATTTGACTGTAGAATAAAAACATATTAATGTAGTTTTGAAAGACACACCCACACGATTAATTTTCAATAAAAACAATTTTCTCTGATAACGATACATTTGTCAATGATTGATAGAAACGATTCTTTTACTTTGTAAACATTCCTCGAAATATCTTTGGAAATTTTCCAAAAATGACGTGATATTGATCAATGGTGAACAAACGAATGATAAGATAAAGAAACCAAAGAAATTTCCTGAACGTTGGTAATCCGTTCGATTTTGATTCAATGATATGAAGTTTACTGTTGGAAATTGGGAAGGAATATGTCGTGAGGGAACTGCAATTTTCATGTTAAAACTATTAAATATTTGACAAGGAAGAAAAGAAAACTATTTAATAATAACTTTCATGTTAGTATCCAAGTTTTTCTCTGTTAACCCATGAAAAAAAATTTGGTATAAATATGCGTTTCAACGCAAACTTTTAGAAAAAAAAACGCTATTTTTGCGTTTCAACGCATCCTTTTGTAAGTTCAACGCGTTTAAACGCATCGATGTCTTTTCCCAGCGCATTTAAATGCATCCTTTTTATTTTGAACGCGTTTTTCCAAATTAAGACGCAACTTAAAAACACTGTTTGAATGCGTTTCGTTTTATGCGTTTGGACGCGTTTGTTTGCTTTGTATTCAAATGCATTTTTAAGCCTTCTTTGATCGAAAAACGAGTTTTTTTCGAAACGCGTTATAACGTTGTTCTTTTTTATGCGTTTTTTCTAGAAAAAACGGATGTTTTCGAAACGCATTACAACGTTGTTTTTTTTAATGCGTTTTTTTCCAAAAGACGGATAGTTTAGAAAAGCGTTTGAACGAATGTTTGTATGTAAGTGTTTCCAGTAAAGATGTGCTTCTAGAGAATACAAATCTATTTTAATTAGAGTAAACATTAGGTGATATCAATGCGAACATAGAAAAGTTAAAAGGCACTACTCTTCAGAACAATTCTTTGTGATATAATAAGATAAAAAATAGTCGAATAACATAGAAAAAAAGTATGTATTTAATCAAAACAACTAACAATTGGAGATAAGTAGTAATATGTTCTCTAACTAGACTTAGTCAACGTTGGATACCGAATGAAAATAAATTTTGTTTCGAATTGATAGTAGCATACTTTTTCAATAACATCATCTACATTAATATGAATACGATGATCAAAATCAATTGTCCCATATTCAACGTTATGGCACGAAATTTTTGTGTGTTAAAATTCAATAATATCTCATCTTTTTTGTTATTATGTAAAGGATAAAGGCGACTATAAATTTCAGTATGATTTTTGACTATAGAACGGGATTTATGTAGGTTTGTGGAGAAAGACCTCCTCTATCTAATGGTATATATATTATTAAATTGTGTTGCGTACCATGCACACTAAAACAAAATGTGTCGTATATATGTGTCGCATTATAGATGTGTCATAGCCTATATGTCAATCGTTCATTCATCGATTTGTTTCGCGAGTGCAGCTGCATATAACTGAGCCTATTGGACGTACTTGACTTATACATTTTCATATGTCTTTTTTTTCTAGATTATTTCTCGACCATTTATTATTCGAGAACATGTCGAGAGGCCGCTAGATGATCGAGAATGGACTGCCTCGAAGTAGTCTGATCGAGATCAAATGGTCTCGAGGCAGCTAGATCTTAAGATCTACCGTCTCGAACTCCAAGAATAGGTGCTACTGTTTGAAATTAACTGAAAAAATAGTAACTATTCGAATTTTCAAAAAAAGAATAATCCTCGTGCCGAAAAATGGATTCGAACCACGTGTTAAAAATGTGTCGCATGTGTCGCACAAGAATGTGTCGTGCGTCCGCTGGAAGAAATGTGTCGCAACGAGCTCCTTGTGTCGCATATTAATGTGTCGTACATTGTGTCGCAAAGTGCGACACATGCGACACATTTTATCTTAGTGTGTGGTAGAAACTTGAATAGAAAAAAATCATGCAGGTTACATCTTTTTAAGAAATACTAGTAAACTATAATCTATATCATATTGAACCAACAAATCCAATCATTTATATACCGTTCGACAGCTCACATTATCTACGTTAATAATCTATGTCAATCTTCTCTATAATTGA